AGATTCAATTTTCATTCTCAGTTATGCCCCTCTTTTCCATACTTAACATTGATTTCTTGTTTAATTATCACCTTTGTGTCTTCTTTACTAGGCTAGCTTTCCTCTCCAAGGTAACTTACTCATCTGCTCATTAAAGCATAGCCTTTAGAATACCCAGCAGGATTTCGTTGAGAAGTCACACTTTCTATTAAAGCTTCCCCTTTTAGCACTCGGTTAGGGAAACAAATTGTTCTGATGAACCGGTCGATTTTGTATTTCACATAATTCTGCCTGATGCAAAACCTTTGTTTCCACAAAGTATAGATACTGCAGTACCTGAGAGTTTTTGGCTATCAACAGCCAGTGTTCTGCTTGGTGCATCACAAAGTCCAACACAGATTTATTTTGTACTTGATGCAGATATTTCCATATTACAATATCCTTGAGATTTTCCTAATATTCAATTATTCCTAATGTTATTTAGACGTAGTTCTCATTCTGGATTTTCTGATGGCAATACATCTTTTTCTCAGACATTTTGAACAAATCCTAGGAAGTGGTCCTCTCCACTGCATCAGTATTTGTCCATGTACTAAATGTCCACCAGTCTACAGTCTGCTTTGCTGTTAGTGTAATGGACATAAAATGTGTGCCATTTTCATGGTAGACTAAAATTCCAACCTCATTCTGGGGGATTGAAAATATCTTTAAAAATAATATGGAAATATTACTCCCCTTTAATATATTAATTAAAATTATTGGTTTTCATTCTTTGAAATCTGCAAGTAAAATATATTGTGGAGAACTCAACTGAACAATTCATATTGTGCAAGTAAAATACCAGTGGTTTTGTTTTATGGTTGTTTCTGTCGGGTTTTTTTTTTTTGTTGTTGTTGTTGTTGGTTTGTTTTTTGTAGGTTTTTTTTTTATTCTGATACTTGAATTACAAAATAAAATAAGAATAGCAATGAATATTGATCCTGGTTTTATTACGCAGTACATCAAACATTACATCCAAGCTGCTTTTGTTAAAAAACTGTGGCACTTGAAAATACTTTTAGATATTTCCTGGCTCCTCTAAAACAATACAAATAGATTCCTTGTCCCATCACAAGTTACTATATTGAACAGATGAAGTTATGTGAGATACAAAAAATAATAAAAAATTATCCAGTTCCACCATTTTAAATACTAAAAGCATTAAGATAAGTACCTTAAAAAAAATTAAATTTGAGTAGCTCTACTTACTCACCACCACCAAGATGCAGCCATTCAAGCCATGACTAATCACTCCAGGCAAGTTCATTCACATCAAAGGAAAGAAACCAAACATAAAGACATTGTATGTCATAAGAATCACACTGGAGCTGGGCAAGTACATTTTCTGTTCAAGGGAAGGGAAGGGAAGGGAAGGGAAGGGAAGGGAAGGGAAGGGAAGGGAAGGGAAGGGAAGGGAAGGGAAGGGAAGGGAAGGGAAGGGA